GATCTCTATGAGGATGAGGACAGACAGCAGCCCGTCGAACTGAAGACCACAAACACACATATGCTCGCTCACTCTCGCTCACATGCAAGTGTGTGTGTATGAGCGTGTGTGTATGCATGCGAGTGTGTGTCCTGCTCACCACACTGAGAGAGCCTTTGCTGCTGCAGCAGACTCCACAGTTCCCGATGACGGACACCAGCAGCATCAGCGCACCCGACACCATCAGCACCATCACACCTGCACACACACACACACACACACACACACACACACACACACACAGTCAGATCAGATCACACACTCAGATACACTCACTCATACAGTATATACTTAAATTCACACACACACACACACACACACACACCGATGTTGAACTGGCTGGTGTTCAGGTCGATGTCGAAGAATCCTCTGGTTTCAGCGCCGAAGCGGAGCCACAATCCCAGAGACACCAGACTGAAGCCCAGCAGCTGGAGACAATCAATCAATCAATCAATCAATCAATAATCAACCAATCAATCATCACCACAGAGGAAGAAGACCATCACCATCATCATCACCATCATCATCATCACCATCATCATCACCATCATCATCACCATCATCATCATCATCATCATCATCATCATCAGCGGCGGTGGTGGTGAGTGTCAGATCCTCCACGCTTCAGTCTTCAGTTCTGCTGTTCAGCAGTGTATTCACACTCAGTGTTTATATGTGAGCTACACGTATAACTGAACTACAGGTAAATATGAAGCTGCTTTACTGAATAGTTCACACTCTGGCACAATATAAATCAACACTGACGACGTGTTCAATGAACTGAAGATGACCTTCCACATGAGCTGTTGATAACAGACTGATGGCGCACTTCTGCATTAGTGTTTGCCAGTTAAAGGGAGACTGATAAAGCTTGTGTGTTAAATATATTATTATAAACACATCTCCTGACCTGAATTAAACCCAGGTGAAGGATTCTGAAGAGACGTGGAGCTTCTCTGAGCATCCTCCATGCCTGGAAGTGTCAGTGCTGCCATCAAACCTCACACACAAACCCCTGATAAAGCAGCTCTGATGTGGAGTTTACTCATTACACATCAGCTTAATTAAAGTAAACTATCAAATACAGTACTTCAGTTATTATGGTAAGCTCGCCGTCATCAGTTAAACAGATGTTATATTAAACTCTGGTCTACATTTTGGAAATTGTTTTCTTTCATTGAGATGTTGTTTTTGAGTGGGGGTGTGTGAATATATCATATTTCACTCGTATTTAACTGCATCTGTTGATTAATTCTGGCTAGTGCTCGTCGTTCTAGTGTTGTTCTCCTATAATGGCCGCTGCGAGACACTGGCGGCATCTGGTGGCCGTTTCCCAGACAGCAGCAGTGTCTCCTCCAGCGGACTCTCTGCGCTCCGCTTTACCTAAACAAGCACACAGGCCACGCCTCTTATTCTAATGCGTCATTGGCTGAGCCCTGCCTTATGCAAATACTGCAAGGTGAATGTCCGACTAGCACTCTTCATGTTTGCATGTTTATGCAGGTTATTAGAACAAAGATGAACTGCATTACTATTATTATTATTATTATTATAATGTGCGGAGACACCGTTTAACCCAGAGTAGTGTACTACACACACACACACACACACACACACACACACACACACACACACACACACACACACAGAGAAGCACCTACCCCGTAGATAATGTTGAACAGGACCAGGAAACATTTACTGATCTGCGCACAGCCGTCCATCATAGGAGATTCACTGCACTGAAACACACACACACACACAAACACACACGCACACACACACACACACACACAACAACAAACTTACAAAACAGTAAGTGTAAAATACAAAAAGTGTCGCAGAAATAGGATTAACACACAAATACAAACACACACACACACACACACACACACAAACACGCACGCACACACACACACACACAACAGCAAACTTACAAAACAGTAAGTGTAAAATACAACAAGTGTCAGAAACAGCATTAACACACACACACACACACACACACACACTGATTCTGACCTGGTGTTGAGCGCTTCAGAGGTTGCAGGTGCTGGAATGAACTCCACAAGTGTGTGTGAGAGGCTCTGCGGGCGGAGGATAGGCATGATGAGAAAGGCGTTCTGCGCATGCGCTCATCGCCCCCTCCGCGCAGTTTCTGTTCTGAAAAAGTGAAACTGTACAGAGGACGCACAGAAGCCACTGTTTCAGAGAAAACACCCCCCCCCCCCCCACACCCATACACACACACACACACACACACACACACACACACACACACACACACACACACACACACACACACCGTATAACCGCAAGACTGATGAAAGAGGCGAGAAGTGTGTTCCAGAAACACTGTGCGTGTGTGTGTGTGTGTGTGTGTGTGTGTGTGTGTGTCTCGAAGGAAACCACATGCAATAATCAGAGGCAGAGCACTGAAACAACAGCCAGTCAGGAAATGGTGGAGCTGTTCATTAGGTAAACGCGGTGGCTGTGGATGTGTGTTATTGCGTGTGTGTTATTGCGTGTGTGTGTGTGTGTGTTATTGCGTGTGTGTGTGTGTGTGTGTGTGTGTGTGTGTGTGTGTGTGTGTGTGTGTGTGTGTGTGTGTGTGTGTGTGTGTGTGTGTGTGTGATGCAGAAGTGTTTTGTAGTTTGTAACCCTGCTCGTCTGCAGAGATGGCAAAAGTGCAAACATCCGTTACTTCAGTAGTAGTACAGAACCTCCTGTTTAAAGCGACTCTGGTAGAAGTAGAAGTGCTGACTACACACAAGTGCTTACTACACACAGGTGCTGACTACACACAGGTGCTGACTACACACAGGTGCTGACTACACACAGGTGCTGACTACACACAAGTGCTTACTACACACAGGTGCTGACTACACACAGGTCTGACTACACACAAGTGCTGACTACACACAAGTGCTTACTACACACAGGTCTGACTACACACAGGTGCTGACTACACACAAGTGCTGACTACACACAAGTGCTGACTACACACAGGTCTGACTACACACAGGTGCTGACTACACACAGGTCTGACTACACACAAGTGCTGACTACACACAGGTCTGACTACACACAGGTGCTGACTACACACAGGTCTGACTACACACAGGTCTGACTACACACAGGTGCTGACTACACACAAGTGCTGACTACACACAAGTGCTGACTACACACAGGTCTGACTACACACAGGTGCTGACTACACAAAAGTGCTGACTACACACAAGTGCTGACTACACACAGGTCTGACTACACACAGGTGCTGACTACACACAAGTGCTGACTACACACAGGTGCTGACTACACACAAGTGCTGACTACACACAAGTGCTGACTACACACAGGTGCTGACTACACACAGGTCTGACTACACACAGGTGCTGACTACACACAGGTGCTGACTACACACAGGTGCTGACTACACACAAGTGCTGACTACACACAGGTGCTGACTACACACAAGTGCTGACTACACACAGGTGCTGACTACACACAGGTGCTGACTACACACAAGTGCTGACTACACACAAGTGCTGACTACACACAGGTGCTGACTACACACAGGTGCTGACTACACACAGGTGCTGACTACACACAGGTGCTGACTACACACAAGTGCTGACTACACACAAGTGCTGACTACACACAGGTGCTGACTACACACAGGTCTGACTACACACAGGTCTGACTACACACAGGTGCTGACTACACACAGGTCTGACCACACACAGGTCTGACTACACACAGGTGCTGACTACACACAGGTCTGACTACACACAGGTGCTGACTACACACAGGTCTGACTACACACAGGTGCTGACTACACACAGGTGCTGACTACACACAGGTGCTGACTACACACAGGTGCTGACTACACACAGGTGCTGACTACACACAGGTCTGACTACACACAGGTGCTGACTACACACAGGTCTGACTACACACAGGTGCTGACTACACACAAGTGCTGACTACACACAGGTGCTGACTACACACAAGTGCTGACTACACACAAGTGCTGACTACACACAAGTGCTGACTACACACAAGTGCTGACTACACACAAGTGCTGACTACACACAGGTGCTGACTACACACAGGTGCTGACTACACACAGGTGCTGACTACACAAAAGTGCTGACTACACACAAGTGCTGACTACACACAGGTCTTACTACACACAGGTGCTGACTACACACAGGTGCTGACTACACACAAGTGCTGACTACACACAAGTGCTGACTACACACAGGTCTGACTACACACAGGTGCTGACTACACACAGGTGCTGACTACACACAGGTGCTGACTACACACAGGTGCTGACTACACACAAGTGCTGACTACACACAGGTCTGACTACACACAGGTGCTGACTACACACAGGTCTGACTACACACAGGTGCTGACTACACACAGGTCTGACTACACACAGGTGCTGACTACACACAGGTCTGACTACACACAGGTGCTGACTACACACAGGTCTGACTACACACAGGTGCTGACTACACACAGGTGCTGACTACACACAGGTGCTGACTACACACAGGTCTGACTACACACAGGTCTGACTACACACAGGTCTGACTACACACAGGTGCTGACTACACACAAGTGCTGACTACACACAGGTCTGACTACACACAGGTCTGACTACACACAGGTCTGACTACACACAGGTGCTGACTACACACAGGTGCTGACTACACACAGGTCTGACTACACACAGGTGCTGACTACACACAAGTGCTGACTACACACAGGTGCTGACTACACACAAGTGCTGACTACACACAAGTGCTGACTACACACAGGTGCTGACTACACACAGGTCTGACTACACACAGGTGCTGACTACACACAGGTGCTGACTACACACAGGTGCTGACTACACACAAGTGCTGACTACACACAGGTGCTGACTACACACAAGTGCTGACTACACACAGGTGCTGACTACACACAGGTGCTGACAACACACAGGTGCTGACTACACACAAGTGCTGACTACACACAGGTGCTGACTACACACAGGTGCTGACTACACACAGGTGCTGACTACACACACACACACAGGTGCTGACTACACACAGGTGCTGACTACACACAAGTGCTGACTACACACAGGTGCTGACTACACACAGGTCTGACTACACACAGGTCCTGACTACACACAGGTGCTGACTACACACAGGTGCTGACTACACACAAGTGCTGACTACACACAGGTGCTGACTACACACAAGTGCTGACTACACACAGGTGCTGACTACACACAGGTGCTGACTACACACAAGTGCTGACTACACACAAGTGCTGACTACACACAAGTGCTGACTACACACAGGTGCTGACTACACACAGGTGCTGACTACACACAGGTGCTGACTACACACAAGTGCTGACTACACACAGGTCTTACTACACACAGGTGCTGACTACACACAGGTGCTGACTACACACAAGTGCTGACTACACACAGGTGCTGACTACACACAGGTCTGACTACACACAAGTGCTGACTACACACAAGTGCTGACTACACACAGGTGCTGACTACACACAGGTGCTGACTACACACAAGTGCTGACTACACACAGGTCTGACTACACACAGGGGGGGGTTACACACAGGTCTGACTACACACAGGTGCTGACTACACACAGGTGCTGACTACACACAGGTGCTGACTACACACAGGTGCTGACTACACACAGGTGCTGACTACACACAGGTGCTGACTACACACAAGTGCTGACTACACACAGGTGCTGACTACACACAAGTGCTGACTACACACAGGTGCTGACTACACACAGGTGCTGACTACACACAGGTGCTGACTACACACAGGTGCTGACTACACACAGGTGCTGACTACACACAGGTGCTGACTACACCTTGGTAGTTCAGTAAAAGTAAAGAAGGATACTCACACTCGCCTCAAACATGTACAAACCGCAGTCCAGACACACAGTGGCGCCTGCAGCTGTACACACTGTGCGTTCATACCATGAGAAGGAGGGAATTAATGCTGCTTTTTATTTATTTATTACATAATTAAAATTGATTATTACACAGTAAACACTACGGTATATTGATAAAGCAAGAACGTTTGAAAGCAAAGCAAGAAAGTGTGTTTTAAAGTGTGCATCTGCATGGAGATGGTACAGAAATCTGTTGCCGTTAGTTTTGCTGGAGGTTTTTCCGCACTGAACATGACAGTTCAGATAGCTGTTGTTGAACACCGGGTTCAGAATGAGTGAACGCTCTTTAAAACAGATACACTGAACTGAGACATTTACCAAAAGGCCTGAAACTGATGATATGAATACTGATCTCCTGCACGGGGTGGAGACTGCATTCGCATCAGCACCTGAGCACCTTACTCTCTTCCCGGAGACCCGGGAGGGATATGATGGTGATGAAGTCTCTTTCTCCACAACCCTTCCTGCTCTCATTCATGTAAACCCTCCTGTTTTTGCCAAAATTCTCCCGTATTTTACCATTCTACCCCACTATCATCCTATCATTCAGTATTTTTCCATAATTCTGATATATTTTAATCTTGAAAGCAGGCTGAACTTCATATTAAATGTCACACACACACTGCTTGTCTTGGCAGAACACCTGACGACGATGATGATGATGATGATGATGATGATATTTACATGTTCATCCATCAGAGGTGTCGGAGAGAGGATCAAATTGATGCTGATTACTGATATTCCAGATGACCCAGAGATGCAGACAATCCCCACACTGACGGAGGACACACACACACACACACACACACACACACACACACACACACACACACACACACACACACACACACACACAGGTCACAGAGACACACACAACATAATGCACACACTCACATAATACACACTCGCTCATACACACTCTGACACTGCCCCCTCGTGGACACAGCCCTTAACAACACACACACACACACACACTAGCACTATGCACTCACTGCCCTCTAGAGGACACAGCCACATATGGGTAATGATTATTAGCTAACTCAGCTGCTGTAACCTAGAGGCGAGGAGAAAATGCTAATAAAGCTAATGGTAAACCTAATGTTAAAGCTAATGTTAACCCTAATGTTAAAGCTAATGTTAAAGCTAATGTTAAAGCTAATGTTAAAGCTAATGTTAAAGCTAATGTTAAAGCTAATGTTAACCCTAATGTTAAAGCTAATGTTAAAGCTAATGTTAAAGCTAATGTTAACCCTAATGTTAAAGCTAATGTTAAAGCTAATGTTAAAGCTAATGTTAAAGCTAATGTTAAAGCTAATGTTAAAGCTAAAGTTAACCCTAATGTTAAAGCTAATGTTAAAGCTAATGTTAAAGCTAATGTTAAAGCTAATGTTAACCCTAATGTTAAAGCTAATGTTAAAGCTAATGTTAAAGCTAATGTTAAAGCTAATGTTAAAGCTAATGTTAAAGCTAATGTTAAAGCTAATGTTAAAGCTAATGTTAAAGCTAATGTTAAAGCTAATGTTAAAGCTAATGTTAAAGCTAATGTTAAAGCTAATGTTAACCCTAATGTTAAAGCTAATGTTAAAGCTAATGTTAAAGCTAATGTTAAACATTATTATTTATACACAGACTGCTCTTTATGTCATCTAGAAAACAGTCAATTACAGAAAGAAAGACTCCGGCCAGATGTTCACAGACTGGGTCACATTTGCAGCATTATTAAGCAGTTAAGCTAAATCTTGTTGATGATGAGTACTGTCATGACCATGTCTGCTTC